GCTTGGTGATGTGAGAGCCTGGTCCGGTGAGAGCCCGGCGTGCTCCGTCCCGGCTTTGTAGGGATGCGAGGTCAATGGTCTAACGACTACGGCATGCACGACTATGAGTACATCCCCCCCCCCCCTTAATTTTGGTGTCGTCGAGGTTTGGAGCAAGCGGTGCATCCTGGTGTGTCCTTAGGAGCCCCTACGTTTGCCTGTCTTTTCGATTGCTTCTGTATGTATTGGCTTTAGGTCGTTCTGTAGCAGCTCTCACAGTGATCGTGATCGAAACGTCTGACGAGCGAGAAATACCCCATGGTGTACTTACGGCCTACACTGCGTCCGAACGCTGGTCATTTGGTATGCCCTTCTTAGTCTCCGACAACGTCTATGAGGTTAAGTTTCTTACTGGGGTAAGGGACCATTAGGGGTAACACAGTGCGAGTGTTCCGCGTGCTGATTTGTTTTGGTTTGCACCGCCGCTTTTTGTACTGGCGTTTATAATGGACTGGCTTAGTCGTTGTTGAAGTGACCTTTGTAGACCCATAGCGAGCGACGTCATAGAGATCCAAAAATCTGGCGAACGATGTAGAGCTCTAGTCTCATGGTTGCTTTTCTGATGATGGAGACGCGTGGTGGATTTTCGAACGGTCGAGCCAGGTCCGAATCCGCCGTTGATTCTCCACAGAGCTGAAAGAGGAGGGTAATGCAACCGCAACCCGATTGCGATGACACAGAATTTCCGAGCCGAACCAACCCCACCGGTGCTTAGCAAGGTAGCAAACCAGCGATGATATAAACAAGGTGGGCTGAAGCGCTTAGCAACAATACACTCGGAGGACATGTGTGGGAGAAACATGTAGTACCCGCGTGTGACTCCATCTAACAAATTGCACGGAAATTTGTGTAGACTGGCGCCAGATCAGACGGGACAAACACATGCACACACTTTCACAGCGGTGATTTGTTTGGTAGGATGTTTTGGGGGATCTATCACAGGCTGCAACGTCGGTGAACGTTCGACCCTCACTAGCTTTTCTCTGTCGTCTCGCAGGTTGAAAGGTTCATGGTCCAGACAGGGGCGGACCGCCATGGCGTTGAGAATGCTTTGGACCAAGTGCGTCATGTGTCGTGGGAATCTGGCCGGACACTACGAGGGAAGTATTTGGTGCTGCTCGCTTTCGCGGAGGTGAGCGCGTGGTCGACATTGGGGTCTACAGTAGACTGGCTACACCTGCAGTTGACAGCGGTCGAGGATGCCAGTCCACGACAAGGTAACGGAGAAGAAACGATATCTTGAACAGACTCTCGAGATACCCACGTTGACCACCACAATGTAGTTTTTTCGCCTTTTACCCCCGGGAGGGCATATATTTTTCTGTTTGTTCCGCGATAATCAGTCAAAACACAGGTAGGTCCATGGCGAATTTATCCTGGACTTCAACCTACGGATACAGATATTTCTGTCAGAAATAACAGCAACAATTCAAAGTAATATTTTATCTCTCCGTTGAATCCCCGTACGCCATTGCCCTGGTGGTCTACTGGTAGACCTCGTGAACCTACTTGCAGCGGGTGGTTAGTTTGACTCTCTGCCGTGTCAAGCAATTGTATGTTGCCGAGACATGATACGTCTTGGGGAAGGGTCAGACGACAACCAGAACCCCATCGTTGCATGCATCGAGAACACAAACATCGTGCTCAACTGCGAAATTGCGAAGGGACTGCATACTGTTGGGGGGTATGAAGAACCCGGAACGCTTGATCCCGGCAAAACAAACGCTTTCCTTACCACGCAGTTCTGAGCTGCAATAATGATTGACTGCGGTTCCTTTCACTCCACTCTAACGCTCTACCTTGTTCGAGCAGGATGCACCAGACGTTGGAAATGAGGGAGCTCATCCAAGCAGGTTAACGAGGGCGGTGCTTGCGGCGTCGATGCATACTACTGAGGCTCATTTTCTTCTCGTGGCAGACGGATTCGAACTCGACGCCACGACAAGGGAGGCCACGGTGAGGTTAGATTTAGGGCGTCATGACTGCGTTTGTAAGGGCCAAAATAATTCCTCAGAGTCAGGACGTTTCACAGTTAGTTTTATGCTGTTCCGTCAAGGTTGTTGTACAGGTTCTCAACGGCCGGCCATTGGAATGACGGGCATGAGAGAGAAATCGGAGACGCATATTGCTGCGTGAGAAAGATTCACCTGGTTCCCATGCGGAGTACACACACAGCAACGTATTATATGCTGGTGGAACAAATGAATCACAAACTTGTTTTGTCGTGTGTTCGTGCAGGAACGCGTGCTAAATGACAAAGGCTGGAAAAGTTTCACAGCTATTGAGTTGCCAGAATTCGAAGGATTTTCATCTGGTGAGCATCCAAGCGGCAAAAGAATGGGAACGGTTGTTCTTTAGATCTTCCTACCTGGTTCAGGACTGGCTCGCTTGTGTAGGACCTCCTGAAAATGTGCGTATGAAGCATCGTACCTGAGAAATCAAGATCATGTGTGAACGAGGGGATTGGGGCACAAGCTTGTCTTAATTAACCCGTACAGCCCACTGCAGGAATCCACCGTATGTTCGCAAGCAGACACGTCGGCGAGGAGAACGAAGCCCCTATGGTAGAACACAGAGAACCATTAAACCTGCCGTCGTCGCAGCTATGAGCATCTGACCGACACACTATTTGCGTAGCAGATGAGCGATGGTCCTCACAACTGTTGAAAACTACCCAGAGCGAAGGGATGCGCTCTCCAACCCATGGTTGTCCCTGATTTCGATCTGACCTGTGAATGCTGCCGTTCCCATCGGACGTTCACGTGCAGCTGTCAATCGAGCCATGAAGATTGTACCTGGAAACTCCGTGGTGGCTATCTTGTCCACATCGACACTCTTGCTCCCCACCAGCTCCGTGGACACCTGCATCCCAACGACCAAGGATGCAGAATGTTTTGACGATGTCGACAGCGATGCCGGCAGGGAGGGGGCAGCAAGCGACGTTTTTGTCGCCTACGAGCGACTGAAAAGCGTCGTCTCCGTTGCCATCCCACCCACGGAATCCAGCAGGATGGACTGCCCTTATGGGTCACCAGTTGAAGCTACGGGGAATACCCCTCCCAACGATAACAGACCAAGCCCTACAGGCGCAGAGGGGAGGCGTAAGAACGAGGGTGATCATCTCCGCCATCGAAGCAACATAGACCGTCAAAGAGGGGGCTTGCTTGTGACCGCCTTACCACCCCGGACGACTTCAGATCGGCGAGGCGATCGTGACGGTCACGTTTCAGCGTGGTCTCAGGGGGGCGCGCAGCATGAGGGGCATGGTCAGGGTGTAGCCCAGGAAACAGAAACGGCTGAGTGGATACCCTCAAGATCGTCTCCGCCGCTTGCACCACCTCGGGAACCGCCGGCTACGAGGATCAGCGATACAGCGCGTATACCTCTACTGGTGTTCGATACCGAAACGTTTTTGGCCCTGGGGGATCTCGACGAGCGATTCTCTTTTCAGGGTGGGGTCGCCGAGTGGATTAGTCGAGCACAACCGAGCAGTGCTAGTGGCTGCAGATATAGCAACGCTGGCCGGCACCTTGGCGCGCTCAGTACAGTGCGACCAGCAACAGAGTATGGGAGCGCTACCGCTTCCCCCTGTACTGGATTCGCTGTCAAGCACGTACATGAACGAAAATGGGGTAGATTGTTTGTCAGAACTTGGCCGGGTTACGGCGCAGGCACAGCATCCCAGCGTACTGCAGGCTCTACGGACGAGCACCGAATGGGAGAAGCACAGCATCGTACTACGGATCCGCTTGAAGACGGTGTTCAACGTGATAAGCCTCTTGAACAGATCTTGCGACAAGGCAAAGGCGGGGATGGATTCCGTCAGCTGGAATATTCTAGGGATCCACCGGCACCAGATGAGGTCGTCATCGACAAGCGGAATCAGATCTCCCCAGAGGCACTGGAGGCCTTGGTTCAAGCTGACAGTGATTTGTTTTTCTTGCCTCTGCTGCTTGAGGCCCCTTCCCCAGGTGAGATCACGTCGTGTCGGCTTGGAGGTTTTTGCGTTGGGACAGAAGGACACCGACTGTGCAAGTTGGTGGGAGTGGGGGTCACTTGCATGTATCTGGTGGCAGAGGTTGAAGAAGGCTGGGGAATAAACTATTTGTAGCCAGTCATGTCCTGTGTTGCTGCTGAACTACAAGACGGACAAGGCGATGTAAGGTATACGGAGACCTCGTTTTCCACGGAGTTGCATGGCATGCGGAAGTACCGGTGTCGTCGTCGATACCTCTGTTGTTGCATGGATGTGGTTTACAACAAAAAAACCGCGATGAAGGTCGAATACGAGGCAAACAACCACTAAACTAGAGCGTTTAGTGGTCGGACAGCTAAATTTGTAAATTGCAGCATGGAGAAAAGCAAGCGAGACAAAGGGCACAAAGGAGGAAAACCCAAGCGACGGAGGAGATTCTCAATCGACGTGGCGAACAACAGCTAAATTTAAGACTGGTAAACATGTGCTGGCTCCGTACGACAGGGCCCCGTTCGAACGATTAAACAGTGGCTACGCTTTACACCAATCTATAGCCCGGCCTCCTCCTACAATTTTTGCAGAGCACGATGATACTGATTCCGTGCGGCGGTGCATGACATTCCACTCGGAGTGGATGGGGAGAACTCCAGACAAGGTCCTAGAGGACAATGTACTCGACAGGCGAAAGAGGTTTCCCGTGGCGGTGGTGGTCGTGATACACGATGAAACCTCCCTAGTGCGTGCAGCCCTGGACGAGATTGCCATTGTGGTGGAACACATCGTGAGTGACAATGTTCATCAATGTACGGTAAAACGGATCGTTTGCAGGGAGAGATTGCCTTGAGCGATTGTCGGTGGAGGGCTATACTCCCGTTCGAAACTATATTATTCAACCGCACGCACGACCCCTTGTGAACATGGCACAGTACCACGATGCGTGATCGCTACAGATAAGGTGCCTAACTTCCGTGTTTGGGATGGATTCCTCATCCAGTGACGAACATGGACAGAAAAAGAGTGTCAGCGCAGGCGTTGAAGGGTAGGGCGTGACAAAAGCTACGATTAATGTATTCTTGCTACTAACAGCAACATCACCCCGACCCTACCCCCAAACGCGTGAGAGCATTAATTCCCCATACAGTTGGGCAAGCCTTGATTAAGGCTTTGGAGCCAGAAGCAACTAATATCTCCCAGGAAAAGGTCGGTACTACTGATGCAACCACCCCGTCGGCAGTATCCCATGCGTTTGCAATATGAAAGAAGTGTTGGGGATGGGTTTCAAGCGAACTCTCCGATCTTCTCGTGAATCAACGCATTCAATTTTCGATTCAAGCTAAGGTCATGGGTGTTTCTTGCTGATCAGCCCCCCATCTATTGGAAATGGCCTTAATGTCGCACACGAGGAACACCTCGTACCAAATCAGCCGTTGTTATGTTTGATTTATGCAACTTTTGAAGAAGCATATGCATAGCTATTCGGCAAGAGACCATAGCACGCACCCCACTAGTGCTATCCATACACCACTTGCGCTGCATGCGCGTAATACCACGCCTTAAAGATGTGCTGCCTAGTTTTTGCATTCAATCGTATGCTATGAGTCCTTCCTGGAAGCTTCCCTCCTGACATCCCTCGCCCACATTCCGTTGAACAGCTCATCTTGGTTAGCTTGCAATCTTGGCACGGGACCGGCAGGGATTCATCCCCGACACTGGAACTCCTGAATGATATGTTGGAGGACGCTGATTCACCTTCTTTCGGCAAGGTTTGTGATGTGTCCGTGCCCGTTTCCACTTCACGTTGCTACGTGGTAGGGCTTAGGTCGTACACATACATGTCCTTCGATGCTACCACGTACAACAAGTTGCAGGTGTAGCCTAAACGCACCAGGACCCAGTAGACTCCCCTTGTGGGGGCAACGGAGAAAGCACGCGCCTGTGACCATATGAGTTGCGTGCTCCAGCTAATACTGACATACAGATAATACAATCAAACAAGACATATGATTAAACTAAGGCTTGCGTTCGTCCGTATCATTTTTGAGTTGCAGCTCCAGGTGGAGGTTGGTTCCTGGGCTACCGAGCGCGAACAAAGACAGCACGGGGATTCCCTCATCAAGAAAGATCCCAGGTGAAGGAAAAACCAACATCCTCCGGGGGGTCAATTTTGGTCCGGTTACCCTGCCCCAAAGTACAGGGATCCTGTCGCGCTCCGCCCCGCTGTTTGTTTTCGTTCGGTGGTCGTCTGATCGATCACGGAAGCATCCTGCACGCATGCTTGCCATTCCTCGAGTCTGGTCTTGCCGAAATGCATGAGTTATCCCGCTCAAGTGCCTTGTGACTTCTTCCCAATAGACTTCGTCAGGTTGCCGCTGTCATCTCTTTTCAACAGCACAAGCAATGCGAGGCTCGAATAGCAGGTGTGACCAACATCCGAAAAGTTTGGTCTGGCGAACCCTCCCGTTGCGTGCGAAATGTCTAAGCTCTGCCTGTGCTATCCTGCACCATTTTTCTCAACACGTTTTAGCCCCCTTTGTCGTTTCCCTTGGCTCGAGCAGAGATTTCTTCCGGGTGGTTGTGATGAACGTGGACGAGTTCTGGCATCCTGTGGAACTTGCAAAGTGAGAAACGATGGCAAGGATTGTCAACAGATGTTGAGCCCCTTGTGTCTGATGCCGCAAGCAGTCTTGTTGTGCAAACCGCCGACGATGATACCACCAAGTTAACTTCGACACACGCACTTAGGCTCCTTCCGTAGACGACGTCGTTGATGGCGTGCTGTGTTAGGTAGTGTAAGCCTGACCGAGGGCAGGCTGGTGGTCTTCCTTGAGATTAGTCAAAAAGACGGAGGGGTCAACGACGGAGGGGGTCTTCGAGGAGACTCCGCAAGCCCATGCCAACACGTAGCATTTGAAAGAATCGCATATCCGCCAGTGGTGCCTCGACTGCATATCGGTTATCGTTTGAAGGGCAGTCTCTCACGGCTAGCGTGGTGTAGTCAGCAATATTCCATGCTTCTTGTTTACGTGCGATGGACGCAGAACTTTATGCATGATGTCGTCTGGAGGCTGTTGTCAATTGCAGGAATGCGCAACGTGGCTCAAACCTTCGATTCACGTCGACGCCTTTTCTTGCACTTGGGAACCATGCCCTTATACTCGAAGGTGGTAAGGTACGGATGAATCTGTACAACTCACCAAACCGCTCAGTGTCTTGTGACCGAGTTTGTTTTCTCTGCTCATGTCGACAGTGAAGCGTGAAGCACGAAGATCAACCTTTCCTCATCTCAGCTGGTCCTACCACCTTCTGCACGTGACGTTTGGTTTGCCAGGGCGCTAGTGTTGGCTGCGCAACATCCGGAAGCAAGTTGTTCGGTAGCAGAAGTTGACATATACTGGGCCAGTGTAAGGTCGCTCGTGGTTCCGGCGAACATGCACATGGTGTGGCTCAAAGACCCGCATCGTTGTGAATGGTGAGCAAATAGAATATAGTGCCTCGGAACTGCACGGTGAGAAGCAACACAATCTTTACTTGTATGCGGACGAGTGCATCTTCAATCTTGCGTTTTGGGGCATGGCAGTGAAAATGCATCCACCTTTGCATAGGCCATGCGAGAGATTCTCGAAGCAGCTGTCGAAGGTCACCCACGAAAGTATCAACGTCTGAATCATTTTTGAGACTTGCACTCGGCTACCGGTCTGTTTCTTCATTGTCCGTTGCTAAGATCACATCAGCTATCACGGTATAGGCCTTCAGATTACATCAACTCCAGCCGAAAATAATGGAAAGAGCATAGCATTCGAGGTTCAACCAAACAAACAATCGAGACCAAACTTGTTTCAGCCTCTCTATTACTGACCTTATAGTTGTCATGCCATTCACTCTCGCTGTTTGCACGTGCATTATGCTGAAGCAACGACAAGCTCTTCTACTCGTTGCATTGACACGAAACGGATTTCTTGCTGCAGCAATTTCAACCTTGCATTCCTATTTCGACTTAGGAGCGAACACCGAGCCATTACGTGCGACGTCGATATGAGCGACGAGGAGGTGGAGGATCAGGTTGGTGTCTTGCCCATCGGTAGATCAATAGGGGTCATCCGACGTCTGAGCTATCACGAGGAGCGCCACGATTTGGAGCAGCTGCAGCTCAAGTCAATTTCTGGAAAGCTCGCGGTTGTCAACGCCAAGGACAACGACGATGATCGTCCTTTACCCCGCTGGGTTACCGGGGAAAGTGGTGACTCTGCTTTCGAACCTGCCCTCGTCGGGGCCAGCGCTGTGTGGTCCAAGTTATTGGAGGCTATGTCATCTAGAGATCATTGTGGGCACCCTCCGTGTGGCAAGGTAAAAGTGTGCCTGTATCCCGTGCACTCTGTCACGAACGGATTGGTGTAAATCGTTTTTCACGAAGCCGAGACCACGAAACGTTGCGAACGTTTTCACGGTGGACATATCTCGCCTTCATTGGCGACTGCGACCTTTCCCGCTCCTTCCGTCTTTGCATGTCTTACTCGCAGGGTAAACACATACATGCAGACTGGGCGGACCTTGGAGAAGAAATGTCGCGAGTTCAGGGGGCTGCAGTTGTTGAAAGGGCGGACCTCGTCAAGATCCCTGGCGTACTGGCACCGGCCAACAGTTTGGACTTCGTCAAGACCCTGCAGTCATATTTTGCTATTTTCAGGGGCTCTCTTTTTCCCACCAGGTCTGGAGCGGCGCTCGCCCGCCCCCAATGCAGGAATCGCCTACCCCAAAAAAGAGGCACTTTCACTCAGTTCACCGTACTGATGCGCCTATGGTAAAATAACGGCCAACACACAATATTTCAAATCTAGATTGAGACGAAAGACAAAGTTGTGTTCGTCAGCACAAAAATTGTACTTCAGGCACTTTCTTCTATAATAGTAGGCAACTATCCAGGCATTCAAACGGGATACAAAGCAGTCCTCTCCCCCAAGTACACACCGTGTCTGATTATGCTTACTGGCAGGTCGATGATCGAAGGACATCGTCTGGCTCAAGTACAGATGAACAAACGTTTCGTCGATGCCGTTGCGAATGGAGACTCTGAAGCGGCAAGGTGAGGGTTCGACGTTTATCATCGTCGCAATGGAGAACCGATAGTCATGTGGAAGCCTTGCTGATTTTGTTTTCCGTACGGAACACAATCGATGAGACAGTCGACACTATCTGAAGATATGTATTTACCAAAAACTTGTTCCACCCAATGGGGCGCAACACGCAAGGGATTTTGTAACAACAATAGAGTGCACCGAGGCACGAATGGGGATGCCTAGGGCTTTGGCGCACAACGGGGTACTCGCCGGTTCTGGACTGGGCAAGAAATGCGTTTTCCTTGCCTCTAGCAACAAAAGGCCACGCGTGGGGGGTGTGCAGCCGGTACCGTTCGGCAGTCACACAATATGCGCCGCATTATGAGAATATGAAGTAAGCGGGTAGAGGATCGACATTACGAAGCCGAGGCCTACCTACCCTGAACCGAATGTTGCGACCTGTAGCCGTCCTTCGCACAGCGACCTCAAGTACCTAAAACAAGGGCATGATTTTAGGAAATTGGAGTTAGGTTAGTTTTGCGAGGTGATCAATCACGTCGAATGTCTGCGCAAGTTTTTGCACTTGAGTGAGAAAATTGATAAGGTGCAATCTTCGGACACAATTGTATTCGCCGTTTGCACGAGGTGTCACAAGGCAACATGAGAGGTACTTCTGCTGGAAATTGGCGACATGGACAATAAAGTGTTGCTGAATCAGCAAGGGTTTCCTTGCAGCAGCATTATATCGCCATAATACACCTACACTGAGTGGAAGACCCCGGCGCCTCCAGTGTGTATCTTCGCACCGAGATTCTCTCCTATCCATCGCTTATTGCGATGTTTGCGCGTTTCGGAAGGTATTTGAGCACGTACTACGCGGTCGTCGAGGTGCCCAAGCTGGCGAGTGATGGCTATGAAAACGCTCCAACCCTGGTGGGTATGGCGGACGTGTTCGTGAACAACTTGGGCTACATCTGGAATGAGAAGGCAAGAGCGGAGATCCTCAACGGCGTTCACAGACAGGCGTTAACACCAAAGACTGATCTTCCACCTGAGACGGGATAGGGAGGACATTCGGACAGTGAGGGTTTGAAACATTTCCGGTTGGAACACAATGACCTCCGCAGGTCAGCGGTTGCTCGAAGTCCCGTAGATCAACTGCTTTGGTACTTGGGAACGAGCGCTGCACACGAAGCAGTCCTCGAAAACTCCCTGTCTACCGCCTACCAAACAGAAGCTGATTGTAACAGGCAAGGGCATGCCTTTGTTGTTGATACTTCGTCATTTGTTGTGTTGAACGAGAGCAAACAAAGAATAAAAAGGGTTAGCGTAACGCAAAAAGTGAGATAAATTGGCGAGAATCGGCCTTAGATGCTGTGGGTACTTCAACTGCGAGCATGATAATGATTGGATGGAAACGAATCAAGACCTACACAGAGGAACGCTTGTATCATTCCAGGACTCGTTTCAAGTTTCGGCACCAAATTCGAGTGCCTTTTGCTCAATGATATACACAATGCCGCACCGGTCAAGCGAACATATTCCTTTCCGCTCGCAGACTTCCATCGTTGATTTTACGCGTGATCGGCACTCTTGCTCGGGTCAAGCTTATCTTCCTTTGGTGTCGTTCCTCCCTCGTTTTCACCGTTGACCTCATCTGTCGGAAGGATTACATCGTCCCGAAATCCTGCGAGGCTAGTCTTCTCGGTCCTCGGGGGCGAACAGCTCTCCCGACCAGCGCTGCAAGCTACGACAAGGTTTGCTACATGCACAACACAACCGAACGACCCGCTTTACGCGTTAAGCCACCATATTAATCTGCAAATCCGCCGAACGCTATTCAATTTGAAACATGTCCTGGCGTGATGGTACAATCTAAACCCATATCACGGCCACCATAAAGTGAGAGCGCGACGAGGCAAGCTTGCGATCGCCGGAAAGTAGACCCTGATCAGACCCTCTCGCAAAACACTCTCTTGGTCGGCAAGGCGTGGCCCATGCGCCGCCTCCCGTTTGACGCCTCGAACCTGTATTTTCCTGTCATTGATGCGCTTTGTCAAGTATTTCGAATCCTTCCAGGCTCATTCGTTTTTCGGCGTGATGGTGCATTGCTCGCTTTCCTCCATGTCCGTTTCCGTTTGGCAAGGTTTTCGTCATAACCCAGCGCTGGGGAAATGAGTACTTTCATTTCCTGGTGGAAAATCTACCACGGATCACTCCCATGCTAGACATCCTTCGGGAGAATCTCGACATCAAGGTGCCATCATTTGCCAAGTCACACTAGTGATCATGCACACAGCACGTGTGATTAGGGCAAACGTTTCGGCGTTGGCACACGTTTTTCCGGGTCCTACATATCAGATATTCTAAAACATGGCGATGATTTTTGCAGGATGCATGGCGCTGAGACGACGTGGGTCGGCAACATTGATTCCAACACGTGCTGAATATTCGCCTCAATCACCAATTCGGCGAGAAAAACCTCACAGCAACAAATTGTGACAGAAGTTTTCGCACCCCCTCCTGCGCCACCGTTCGCCGTGTGTAAGATCGCAGTGCATGCCGCCGAACCCGGCTTGGCGGGTCACCCAAAATTTATTTTAGAGTTCTTGGAGTTACTTGGGATATCCAATGACCGGGTCATCTTCGTTCAGAAAGAGGTGCGCGACGTTGGTCCAGCTAGCGATTGAAGGATCGTCACGATGTGGACATGTAGCGGCTCCCCAAGCTTGGCTCACACAGAGGCGTGAGATTGAACGCTCGAAAAACAAAGAGACAATGAATGGACACCTCGAGTGTGACCATGCCGCTCGAGTTTGACCTTGCCGTTGTTTTGAATGCGGTCACAAGCTACCGTATCACGTAGAGCAGCAGGCATGAATTCGCTATCTATATGAACATTTTAGGCGCACGAACCGTGTCGCTATAGGCGGCGTGCCTTTGGTTAGAGAGGGTGGCACCCGTCAATGTCGATAAGGCAGACTAGACATCATTATGGAGGGTATCTTTGTATTCGTGCGTAGTCATGATATTTGCACTACCCTAAAGAGTCACTTGGGGCAATGGTTTGGTTGCCTGCTGGCTTGATGCACGCTGGTATGTGATACGGCTGCGCCCTTGTTAGTGAACCTACCCCGGTAGGACCACTAGGTCAAGAAGATGTGAATAATAACCCAGTGTTCCGAAATTCATGGATCTGCGTGTACGTCAACGTCAAACACCCCCCGGGAGGGCAACGCAGGTTCTGGTTTTAGGGGAGCAGAGAGAAATGATGGCGACACACAATCATGTGCGATGCACCGTCTCCTTTCCAACCCCCCTCGCCCAGTCCCTCTCACCATCCATTTCTTTAATGCTCTCGACACAGATCCATGCGGTTCTCGCCATTCTGCCCAGTTCAACATCATGTGGACAGCCAGACACGCAAATGATTAATATGCTCAGACACGCCCTTTTGCAGGTGGGGTTGTATTATCGTCTAAATTGATTAAATGTTAACCTCCTAGGAACAAGAACTTGGGGCAATAAGGCGAGAGCCGTGCACTTGGAAGCTACGCGTCGAAGGTCAATGGGTACATGCATACGACGCCTTGTTGCTGGGGGGGGGGCTGCATATCTCCCGACACCATTGAATGATGTCCGGCCTTGGACACATCTCAATTTTCCCAGTCCCCCAACATCGTCCGATGAGGGTGGACCTCGCAGGGTACATAATTCCTCGAAGAATACGACGAAATAGTTTTTTACAAGGAATGCAGACCAACACCAGATACCGTGGCTTCGACAGCCTCTCCGATGCCCAAAGCCAGACTATTTCGAGGCACTTTGGCTCCTCACCCTTGATTGAATACCTAAGAACCGCGTGGGAAGCGTCGGCGCGTATTCTTTGTCGTGCAGTCAGGATTTGTTGCGGCTTTGCGGAGTTTGCAACCGCGACACGAACCCGCCCGTCTTCCGGCGGCCACCGCCCTCCGTGCAGCTATCACATCAAACTTCACCCCTGTGATCGCGGTTTACGTTGCGGGCTTGAGTTAATAAATGGATGTAAAATATGTCATGCACGGGCAGGCGGGGGTAAGCTTTCAAGCGAACCAGTTTACTTCTGCTGTAAACCAGGCTTGTCGGCACACGGGGTTACATACGGAGCGTCGTTTCAAAAATGGCAGGCAGTCAGAGATCCTCATACCAAGCGGGTATTGGATCCTTTATATTGAGACGTTTCATTGGAGTGGCTGCCGTTGAGTCTCACGTTAACAAATATTCTTAACTCTATCCAGTACCTCTTGTTCGCTACTCTGAAAGAAGCGAAATCCCGAATGCACGGTCGTATGAAAATCGTATTTTTCGCACTCAGAATCGTTTCGTCCATTTGATGGAGGAGTTATCCCACAAGGTACTCCCGAGATCCCTGGTAGTTTTATTAGCTGAATGAGTCGTCCTGTTTGCATCCCATGAGCAAAAAAAGAAAAAACGCCTGATCAAACCAGTCCTGACGTTGCAACCATTTCATCCCCCGTGTACTACCGTCTCTCACTCACGCTCCAACCAATGGCTTCCCTAATTCACTGAATTCAGGTCCGATCCTCAAAGGCAGTCGCACTCGCTCTTTGATTTTGTCAACGCTCACACCTACCCTTCAACGTGCGTATGCTCATCGGATTTGACTCGCATCCTTGGTCAACAGGCGTTGTATCCCACGACGGGGGGGATTCCTGTTCCGGTTGCGCGCCCGGTGATCGTGCTCGTCGTGCGTGAACATAAACGAGGGCTGAAAAACAACGACCAGGTAGGTCTGTTAGCAGCTTCCTCAAAATACACGCGTTCCTGAGGTTGACGAGACATTAGGTCTTCCTAACTTGTTGCCGCCAGCTGTTGTCAATGGTATGCCTCCAGAGTTTGAGTAAAGGAGATTTTCCTCTTCATAATGAGGGTGGCATTCTACTTCCGGGGTGCCCCGTGCGGTAACACTATCGTGTCGTGATGATTATGAACCCTTCGTTTCCTTACCCTTCTCCTGGTGAAAGCACTGAATATTGGCCCGCGGGTATTATTGAGGCATTATTTTTGACGAACGGCAATTACTCACGGTTCAGAAACGTGAGAGGCGCAATGCTGTAAACTCAAAGTTCGTTGTAATTTTGACTTAAACTTGTCGTACACCAAAGGGTTGTTTTCCGTGTCACGGTTAGCTAACGGCTGCCATCAGACTGCATGCATTTTGAGTTCTCCAAACAAGTATAACCAGCTCTCCAATAGTGTTGACTGTGAAGAATCTCGACCGCTCAGACTACCGCCAAACGACAGCGGAATACAAGCCTAAGTATCATGCCCTCACGGATTTGTCTGCGCAAGGGTTTCGGCAACGTCGAATTCCACAGCAAACGTATTGCAACGTCAACATACTGTTATAGCCTAACTCTTTTTGATTACACTCAAGCATGGGCTTGCATGCCTTCTGTACCTTCGGTGGTTTGAACACATGGCACGCCGCTGCGTTTCTACCTACGAAGGTCCGGGAGGCTCTGAAGGCGGAATTTCCAACATTCGACATCGTGGAATTTCTGGGAATTGGGCCTATCATGTCGCAGCTGAACCTGTTCGCGGCAGCTTCCCTTATTGTGGCTCCCCACGGGGCCGGTCTGTCCAACATGGTGGTCTCGTCGCTACATACACCAGTTCTGGAGATAGGCCCACCAATCTGCGCAGCTTGCTATATGCACCTGGCCGTGAAGGTGATAAACGTTTCTGTATGGAGGCGAGCACGATATGCCGTCTGTACGCCCTTTGGGAGCACAGGGTGTGTGAGTGTTCTGACTGGCGGCTTGTTGTATCATGAAACGCTCAAATGTTTCGGCCGTGTGGGTTCTAAATACTCGGGAGCCTTGACCCTACCCAGTGGAACTAGATCTATGTTTGAAGACGAAATGTTCCGTCTTAACGGCGAGCGTCTTGCAACACGGCAGCTTCAGCACATCTACGCCCGACACCCCGGAAGCAGCGAGTGGGACACGCCTTGCGATGGCAAATACGAACCGGACGTCGGTGAAATTCTTCTGCTTGTAAGGTAAGCCATGCGGTAGATGATCTGAGCTCTGAGTCTTATTTTTACGTGCGCGAAGCTCTCGGACATGTTTTTTTTTTTTTTGTCTTCACTTCAAATCAGCGCTCACAGCACTGGCGCCGTTTACTCCAACCCGTGGTCACACAAAAGAGCCCCTCTCTACCCTCCCCTCCAGCGGTACTTTGCCTTCGATTTTGAATGCGAGAAGAGTTCAGCACTCTCTTCCCTCTGTATACACACGAACTGGCACTATCCATTAGGCCAGGAGCGGAAGTGAGAGAAAAAATCACTTTGCAAGATACGCTCGCTTACGCCGGAATTCGAACCCCTAACCTGACCTCTAGAAGGTTTCGGGGATACCTACTAGACCACCGGGGCGCCCGGTGCATGCTTGTTGTGAACAGATTCCTATGATAGTCACTTGGGTTGTCTGGTGAACGTTGAAGATCGCTTTCGTCCAGTCGTGTTTAGGGAATGCGAGTGAGATAGCCGGCACTGAACGGTGAAAGCACCTTTTGGTAGATAACGTCCCTCCGTCAAAGATGTGAATCGGTCGGAAAGGTGGTGTTGGAAGCAACCGGTATCGCGATGGTTAACCGGCCCCACGGTGTAATACTGTAGTCAATCTACACACACTCCCACCCAACGCTTTCAACCGGGTGTCCAATTACCGCGCCCTTCCGTTTGCCTTCGTCGTATGTCTTCAACCAACTTTTGCGAATTTCCGGGACTACTCCATAGAGATCTTCTGGAGGGGAAACGGCAGGCTGATTCTGCCGATTCGCCGAAGGTCCTCGATGGACATCTATAAGTGATCCCGGGCGTGCATCCTACTCTCCGCGTGGTCCCTTACTTTGGTCAATGGGTTCCCCCTGGACTACACGGTTTATTTTGGTTTGCCAGGCTACCGGGAAAGGGCGACGGGTGTCCCACTCAGCGCTTCACAAAATTGCTCCCTCTCCTTTGTGCACGTGATGTATGGATCGGTGTATTCCATCGACAGCACGTTCGGCCATTAATGTCGCCTGCAAGGACATGACTTACTTTACGAACATGCGCACCAAGTGGGAGCATGGCTCGACTAAAGGTCATCCACATGGTGCGGTTCGCCTCGTATCGCGACCATTTTTCATCAGGGAGCACGCTAGGTCAGGCTCTTCAGTTGTTGGGTACTTTTTTCTTTTGTTTCTCCCATCATTGGAGTCTGTCGTCTGCCCCTCTGGCCCCTATCCTCCACTTATACTAGCTAGACGACCCGACCGGGGTCACAAAGGAGGGACCCTGTTCGGCGAAGAATAATCCTTCGGGTGTGATATTTGGCGGGGATCGTGGTACTTTGAACGGTTGCACAACCTCGGCAAAGAGATCAAACAGTTTTGATCGGTAACTATTTCGAGACAGCGGTAGCGACAGACGCAGCCTCCACCTTCCGGTAAAATTCAAGTGTATCTCAACGATCATTGAAACCCTCCGTAGCTAAAGCAAGGAGCAGCCGCAAATGTGGAATGGTGGATGAGGTATTCTTGCATAGGATAGCGGGGGCGAAAGTGACACTGGATGCCCTTCCTTGCACCTTACAAATTCGAACAATTTTGAATTGGGCGACGTTGTGTAGGCCACAATCAACGCCCGTTCATCGAAGGCAGTTGGTGTGCAGCTGTCCGTGCAGTAGTGCCAACGTTACATGTTTTCGCTCTATGTCTTCTTGACCGTCGGCCCTGATTTGCTGAAACTACAAATGTGGTGCTTGGACTACAGCATCTGCCGGGTCTCTGTCGCACGAGTAGACTAAATGGTAGAGCCGCCTCATGAGATCTTCATCAACGTAGTGAAAGCTGAGTGAGTCGCTCGAGCAGCCCTCAAGGCCGAAAACCAGGTCAATCGCCATGCTTATGTACCAGTCACCAACCACAATTCCCGATACAAAGCGATCCTCCGGTCTCATCGGCATGCGATACCTGCCACAGACGTCAGCGCGACCATGAAGCAAGGGATAAAATACAGATGTATGGCAGACTATCACCAAGAAACAGCTATTTAGCGCACACAGGTTATGGCCTGGAGGAGGTAAAAACGGACAAACAAGGTCTATGCCATTTGTGTACTTTATTTAGTACCAGTCCGGGGCTCATCAAACCGGGGGAAGCTACCGAAACCACCGTAGACCGGGGAACTTAACGTGAGAAGTGGTAGGACATCAAGAGACTAAAAGGAATCGCGCAATGCAGCAGTCCAAGACAAAACATTAAACCTGTGTTGTTAATGTTGGGTTACCTCACGGAGAACATTAGAAAATAGCCTCAGGCAAAATAAAAGTACGGGCGCATTCTGTTCACCCCGGGGCTGGGACAGGTTTTAGTACACTCATGAAAGGTGTTGTGGTGGGGAGATTTTCTGAAAGATTTTCAAAACACTCCCAACACTTTCGGCTGAAGTCGCCCTCTCGATCTCCAAACCCAAAACCCTGCAGTGACGTATGCACAATAAGCCTGCCTGCAAATGAAACATAGTTTTAGTTTACTGCGTTTTGCATCTGTCACACGACGGGGACACGGCCTGTACATGCTATCTTGCGAGAAGCGACAAAAGGCGCTTACCCAAAGTGGACCGCCGGAGTATAGGGATGAAAGCGCTCACGCCCAGATTCATCCCGCGTGTCGAATGCTACCACGCCGTTCTTCTTCAAGCACATCGCGACCTGGCGTCCGAGAGTCACCCCCATCCCTAGCACTTTGAGTTTTGCGGGAAAATAGGCATACATTATATATTGATACCATCGGCGACCGAGTTGCGCCACCAAATGCGTCAGATTCACATCAACTCAAAGCCTTGGCTGCCGACTGCAAGAAAACCTCTGTCCGGGAACCAACCCCATGTTGTTGGGGGTTATTTGATACAACTCTGCAAGACTCGGTATATCCCACACGCAACCATGGAGTTGGGGAGCTACTATTGGATGCACAATGTCGCACAGTCAGCCGGTGATCCTCTTTTTCCGACGCTCCATTCCTTGGACCGCCGTCCGTTATGGTACTGTGTATAATTGTCTCTGCAAATCGGTAACCCCCGTGGTGCCGTACTAGAGTAGTTTCATTCACCATGACATCTTCCCACGAGGTCTTTTTATGTGGCTGGCAGGCATCCTCGTCCAAGTAGCTCGCCAACAGCCGGACGGACGCTTGGTTCAACACGTACGACGCCCCACCGCTGTTGAATATCCATTCATCGTCGTTGAAGGGCCGTAGACGCCTTCCCAGGTACATGGGGTTTGGGCCTCCGTTTATCCGCCCACCAGCCGCGCGCATGATATCGTCTGATAGCAAGTACTAGGTACCGATCGCGCGGAAGGTGGGGAGGGCGAAATCAGTTGGAGTGTGTCGTAGTCGTTCGAGTGCTGATCTGGTCTCGCATCTCTTCTACTACAAGGGAGAGCAGTAGGAAGGATGATGGCCAGCCCAGGCTATGTTTTACACGATGATCTGCAGTCAGAATCCCTGTGGATGCCACGCCAAAGAGGTTCTGCCTCCCGTGGATGGGACCGGTTTCTCAGATAGGTTGCACACCACTTTGGAACCCCCATGATGTACAGAACGGTTCATGTGCTTCCGAAGAAGTACGAATGTGAGAGGTTTCTCGGGGCGTGTGCATTACATATCCTGGCACTTTTGCACTCATGGGGCGCCCCATGAGTTAGCCCCATGGGTCATCCCCTGGTCGTAGTCATCATGCTGTCCATGTGCCTAGAAAAAGGACCCATCACGGCCCTCATGCAACCGACAACGGTCCAAAGTCGTCCATGACCCTTTGCCCGCGCAATGGCCTAATGGGTCGTTATGGGTCGCCCTTGGGCCGTCAGCAGCTGCCGTATTGGCCGGCCGATAGGCCGCTACAATAATATTCATGGGACTTGATTGGGGTCCATGCGTCCTCATTGGTTTTGCATACTTGAGACGTCGATGACAGGCCATCGGCAGCCCATGGGTCGTCAGATGTGTAGAGCAACACCAACCAAACTCCAAGTTCGCTCCGAGCGTTCCAACGATCCGTGCTCAGCGGACACGAAAGAGGACGGAAAAAACTCGCGGTCTAAATACCTTGGTTATTCTAGATGAAAACCGTAGCCTGTCCTATCCACGAGAGTTTCAAGAGTCTGTGCTCAGCACCGTTATGCCGAAAGAGCACGATTGGGCTGGGACGTTCAGAGGGGATAGTCACAGGCCAGGCCACTGACAACAAACCTTCAGTCAGAGAAACCAATTTCTATTCACGTTGAGCTCACATACGGCTGCATTCCAGTTCACAAATGTCGCAAATACTCATGCTACTTTCAGGGCGTTTTCCGGGATCATTGCCTGTCCTCAACAACAGTTATGACTCGGCTCATGCCGTGTGAGGATCGAAGGGTAGACTACTCAGCACACCTTGCGCAGATTCTCCACGATGACGAAGAGGTCGTCGCCACCAAGAAGAAACCAATCGAAATCGTTCTTGTAGTGGAAGTTAATATACTTCCAGATTGCTCTGCTCTTCTGCCACATGTTGTCATACTCTTCTGGACCCTCGTGCTCGATCTGAAACCTGTCCAGTGTCACCCCGTTAGCGTGTCAGGTTGAGTAATCTGTCTCCAAAGAAAACGCGTGGAAGTTTCTGTGGCAGATGTGTTGCAGTTCATGTCGGGCTTCGGGTCGTCGTGTACATGTGTTTGTTGACTTTCAACCACGGATGAAACGTCAGCCTACCGTGAGCCTGCGCTTTCGATTAGGCTACCAGATATGTTGTGAGATACCAGCCTCTTAGGCAGTAGCTAAGCCTGCATACACCAGGAATATTCTCACGTGTGGAGGTCGGGGTCAGCAGCGTCACTGAAGGCCACAAAACCGTCACAGTTGGCCGCCCATGTCTCCTTGATCGCCTGTGGGAATTACGTGCAAGTTAGTTGCGGTGCAGCGTTCGAAACGTAAGGCCAGAAGGGTTGAGCGGCCCTTCCCAAACGTGGTCTGGCGAATACAGCACTCTCTATTGGGCGCAAAGTTCGGAAGAGACGCGCTGTTTCGGGGTTTGAACTCCCAATCTAGGTCCTTCATTAACGGACTGGCACAAGACTTCCTGACGTCTGAAATGGCTATTAGTCTGAAAGACTCCAGCAATGTCCATCGCTTCTGTGTGCTGCTCAGCTATAGGAATGTCAAGCAGTCGAATGCAACAGGAAGTTCCAGTCGCGACATTTAGGTCCGAAAGCTGCTACAGGTGCCGCCGCTGGCGCTTCCACAGGTGCCAAGATTGTCGTGATGTGACACAGTAATCATTGTTTCGCCAGACCAAAAGCGACCATCGCCACTACCAAGTGCAGAATACTTCTGCGAGTGTTCGTCATCGAACGAGGGTTAGCCTTCAACGAGCGCGCGCTCACCTTCACTTTCGTGAAGTGGTTTTTCTTGTGAGTGAATATCCCGCAGAATATCCTTGGCATAGTCTTCGAAGCACCTTCCCAAACATCCACGTGGGATAGCATCTCCTTGTGGTCATCGTTCCTGGGAGAAATTGAGGGTGAGCAGTCATGTTCTTGAACACAGGCGCACTTCTTCATCCCCATATATGCCGGCAGTTTCTTCTCTCAAGCTGTTGAGGTCAAGCAATTGAGTTCTCAGAATGCTTCCGGGGGAATCCCAACTTAATTCTTTGCGGATCGTTCCCAGCCTCCGACGTAGAAAGTGCTCAACACACGCTTGTCGGGCGTTGCTTTTGGCTTGTTCAGGGTTCACCGAGGTGGCGAAACGCAACCAGTCTTTTATGAATTAGACGGTGGAACCATGAGCGTTTCTTGGAGCCTACCACGTTTTACCCCAAATCCTGCCTAAAGCAACAGGATTAATCTACATGAGAACGAGTTGCTGAAGCGGATTTTCTGGAATATTTTTCAGAACGCCATGAGTCAACTTGCATTAACGTCGACAGCAACTTGCTCACATTAAAAGAATACTGGAAATACGTTGCAGCAGGCTCAGGTGAGTTGATTATTGTATTCCATATAACTCACGTTCCGCACGCTTTCGAAGAGGAATTGCCCGACAATGAGGGCGTAGAATGCTGCGTTGGTAGCAAGAATTTTCTAGTGTCGAACTTGTCCTGGTCATTCCATGACGCGGTAAATCTCTTGTGCTCTTTTGAGGTTAACAGCGACGGGGATCCTTCTTGGACTTGTTCGTTGAGCACTCCGCGGGGATTGTCCCAGATCTGCCCGAACGCGCGGCAATTGATGATCGAGGGTACGGGAAACTCGGAACATGTTCACCCAAGCGAAAGAAAAGAAAACGGGCGGAATTGAGCTTGTAAAAGCGCTTGTTGCGCTCCCTCTTTATCGATCGTTCTTGCACCCCCCGGGCAAGTGAACCAGTTGCAAAACGCTTGCACGTCCGACAACAATGTCCGAAAGCATACATAGCATCGTCACTGCCAAATGATCAGCTCTATCTGAAGAAAGGCTTGCCAATACGCGGGCAGACAAGGGATGGGAGGGAAAACCAAATGATGCAAACGAACCGGGCTTGTGTTTTGGCGGCTGCGCGTAGAATCTACACAAAATACTATGATGGGCCGTGACTGTCCGGTGGTCGCGGCGCTAGGGGTATGGGGGCCATAAAACAGGAATTGAAGTATCGGACGCTTCCCTGTTTGCCCTCTAGAGGATTCGAAGAGGCGGCGGTTATGCCGCATCTACGAAGAAGAGACAACTGAACGTGTTTCTCCGTGGCACGTTTTCGCGAACGTTGCTACCCACCCGGTGTTTACTTAACACCCCCCATGTGGACGGAGGATAATAAAGCCTGTTAAAGTGCACGTTATCACCCGTTAACATGTCTATCGCATGCCTAACTAAGTCATGCTAACATGGGATGGTGGGTTATTACCGTATGCTATGAGATGTACGTGTTCACAGTCATCATTCGCACGAAGGTCGTCAGCAAGCTGCGACACTATTTGCTTGATACCGTACAAGGAATGGATACCGTCCGGGAGAGACAACGAAGACAGGTGAGCGCAACCCCCCTACATCACACTGATTCCCAGCCCCGAGGATCCGGTCTACGCACGAACTGTACTCAGCTACGAAGGTGAGAGATGTATGAGCGTTTTGTATGAGCGTCTTTTCAGCTGTTTTAACACTTGTAGAGTTCTATAAAACCGTTTGCCCGTATGGAACACTACTGGACACAGGTGCGTCGGCGTAGTAAGAATACATGGTGGCCGTCGTATCTATCGTGGTGAACGTCATCCTTGTTGTTCAAGGCGAACGGACACATTTCCGTGGTCACAAGTCAAAGATATTTCACATGGTAGGCATACTCGTGATATATACACCCAGTAAAGGTCTGTCTACAGTACTCGCGAAAAAACGAATTCCTGAGAGAGACAACGCAGAACAGAACGGCAAGATCAAGGAAGCTGGGTAAGCGGGCCTACTGCTGCTGCTGTGTGGTAGTTTTTTGCTTCCCCCCCGAGCTCCGCGTAAAGTCACCTCGACGAGCTTCCACTTGGCAGTAACCTCGGTTATCTGCGGCTCAGTCATGCCGGCTTCTCGACCGCCTTCAGCAATCGAAGCGACAACCTACGCCAGAGCAAACAGCGATGGCACAGGCGGTCGTCCACCGGTGTTCGTCTGTACCGCTGTAACCCAAACCAACCGGGCTGGTGGAGCTGGCGTGTATCCGTATGCAACACATTATGCCTAACCGTGGCCGAGCAGGCCTCATGGCGCGTCCTACCGGAGAACTTCATTGGTGGTAAAGGCTACGCTACGCCGGGCGTCGGTAAGTCCTGCTTCACGACGGGCTACGCGGTTGAGGACAAGCAGTATACAGCAGTAAATTGTACCTCTGTTTCGTCGGCGTCGTTCCTGACCATGACTGTCTGCCTTTTGGTACCACCATCAAGAATCAACGTTGTCCACCCCTCCGATGCGATTGACTCGTTTCGTGCTGGTGCTGACACGGGTGAAAGGGTAGCTTCTGTCACCCCACCCTCCACTGATGATGTAGAGCTCACGTTGCCATGCCAGGTTCCCATAAGGAAGACGGCTATTATGAATTTCGATGCGGCGGGTAGAGATGGCAACATTGACAGCCCTAGCTTAGCCGTGCACTCCACGTCGAATGAGGCACAACCGAAAGTGTTCGTAGAAATTGGAAGGCGTGCGCTCAACTGCTCCTACCGGGCGGAAGCTTATCCCATAGATCTTGACTGGCAAACGTACAATCTGGCGTGGGGATGGATGGTCAAATGTTCCAGATCTACGGTGCAGCAGTATTTCCGAAAAGATCTTCGGATCTCCGGTACTTGTACAGTAGATTCGGTAGATCTCCTAGCGATCTCCGGAGATGGTTCTCCACAGATGCAGTACCGGGTGATCTGGGCAGTGGCCAGATGGCCAGGTCGACGCCACAGACAGGCTGTTGGTGTAGCGTAAACGATTCCTCCGATACGTCTATGGTGCTTCGGACTGTTGGTTCTGGTGCTTCGAGCGTGGAGGGAGGTGCTGAAAGAAGAGCCGATCGTGACTACGTTGTTGCGCATGTAAAATAGGGCCTGCGGCATGCAAGTCTACAGCAGAGCCTTCGCCACTGATGTTGTAGGTACGTGCTCGCTGCAGAGGAGTCTTCCTCGTCAAATCGGGAGACTACGACCCTGCGTTAATTGACATGTTCGAAGGGAAATGCATTTGCCGAGACAGATGCAGCCTACAACACTAACAAGGGCTTGACTTTACCCCATAAACTTCTACCTACAACACCGCACATCTGACCGCCCTCCCTGTTCGTAAACCCCAAGTTGGTGTGCCCGTTGAGCTTTCAGAGCCGTGACATGTGATGTGTGGACATTTTCAGAAGAATCAACGGCTTGGAGGAAGGAATAGCAGGAGAAGAGTTGGAGTGCTCATGAGCTGACCAGCTGGCAGCTGTCGGGCAGGGCTCCGTGCATCGGGCATGGGCTCCGTACATCACCCTCTGGGCATAATAACCTATAGTCTAGTCTATTCCCCACGAACCCCTATCCTTGTAGTCTACGCAGTACACGTGGAACAATACATTACCGATAACACTTATTACATTCCAATTACACGAACACTTCTTGCGTAGCAGGACCGTATCATTTTTATCTGTTGCTCGACTTCTGTGGCCTGATAGTCTACGGTCTACATACGTCCAACCAAGGTACCGTAGACTAATTGTTCGTGTGGGTGCGTATGTGGTCGGATCTGTAGACGAGATGACCGTTTCAGGTGCCCTGCACATAGGTATGCGTTGGGTAGCACGACCAGAGAATGATTGTGCGGAGCCCCCACGCCAGCTGCTGTCAGCTGTCGTGTGCGTGGCACTCTCTGCTGTTCCCCCCAACCGGGTGTGAGCGATAACAAGCATCTAAACATCAAGCACTACAGTCTCTACAAAGACAACAAGGGCATACCACTTAGGATGAGCTCTGCCGGAGATGAGGTGCCCACTGCTGCGAGCGGAGAACAGATCCGCTCGCCGGTGGAGGAGGACCGCGATGCAGAGCTTGCGAGCTTGCAACGGAAGATTTCGCAATTGTCGGCCCTGGTGGAGGAGTCGGTGAAGAAGAAGGAGCCTGGCAGCGTCGTGGCGGGTGCAGCCAGTAGTG